AAGACTTTTCGAAAAACTTTCTTACTTAAAAAGTAAAGCATCCAATTCAAGTAAGATGATATGCAGAAACTTGGGAAGAAAATGTGACTCATGTAAGAAACTCTCACAAAAGTTTCTTATCTCACAGATACTTGGAAGTTCTAAAGTCCAAGGTATTTTAAAGAGAAAGAATTCCTCAACCAGAAAAATAAACCCGCAAACAACAGAGGAGGCTTTTAAAACCCTCTAAGATGTGCAGATCCTTTAAACCAGCACTTCTATTTCTGGGAATTTATCCCCAAAATTCCCAGGAACTTATTACACAGATGAAAAAATGAAATTATAAACTGCAAATGCATCTATGATAGCAAGAAAAAAGTGGAAACAACCTAAAATGTCCAGCATTAGGGGAATATATTAATCTCATGACATCAACAGGATTATGCAACCATTAAGTCTTTTTTTTATTTATCTTTATTGTTGAAAGTATTACAGATGCCCCCCCCCCCTTTTTCCCATTGACCCGTTCCACTCAGCATCAGCCCCTCCCAGGCCTTCACCACACTACTCTCTGTGACCATGGGTTATGCATATATGCCTATAAGTTCCCCAGTTAATCTCTCCCCACCCATCCACCCCCACACCATATAATGGTAAAAACATGAAAAATAGCCCGACTGGGTTGGCTCAGTGGTTGAGTGTCGACCTATGAACCAGGAGGTCACGGTTCAATTCCTAGTCAGGGCACATGCCTGGGTGGCGGACTCAATCCTCAGTGTGGGGAGTACAGGAGGCAGCCAATCCATGATTCTCTCTCATCATTGATGTTTCTATTTCTCTCTCTTCCTTCCTCTCTGAAATCAATAAAAATGTTTTCTTAAAAAACATGAAAAATATTTAAGCAAATCTGAGTAACACAATTGTAACAATATTGATCAGTGAAAAAGAGACGAGCACATGGGGTCAGATCGGGCTTCAAAGCCTCTCTCCTGTTCCCAACCTGGATGACCTTGGACTAAGCACAGATTTCACGACCTGCAGCACCCTCATATTCAAACTAGTAACCTTGGAGGTCGCCAGAGGCATTGCACTTGTCTTGCCTCTTCTGAAGCCTGGAACAAAGTAGACAATATATGGGACAGCTATTGCTTCCCTGTGTGGAAGATAAAATACAAAGGGAGTTCTTTATTCAGAAAACTCTATTTTCTATGTTGTATCTTCAACATTTAAGAGACCTAAAAGATACGAAAGGAAGGGAATTCCTGTGACACAAAAATGAAGATTATCACAAGCACAAAAACAAACATTTGCTCTAATTTACCTGCACAAATGATCTTAATTTGATATCACAATGTCAGCAAAATGTGAAGACCTTGCACAATTTTACAAAGTGCAATGCAAACTCAATGCTCTACAGAAATGTAATGTCTACTCTCTTGATTAATTTTAGTAGCATACGACACCTTTCCAAAGGCAGCTAGCGGAAGGTGAGACAGCAGTACTCCTGAGCCAGCTCTGAATCCCGGGCACGCTGCTTCCACTCACCAGTCGGGAGGCGGACAGCACAGCGGGTGGACAGGTAAACAGGCGGACAAGCAGAGACTACCTGGACTCATGCCCAGCAGCTAGGCTGTTTAAAAGCCTCTCCCTTTCTTCCCTTTATCTCCCAACTGTGTAAATTACTGCAAACTTTCAGATTATCTTAAGCAAGTTAGTTACAGGCATAGATCCCATCTTAAACAAAACAAAAGACCACATAACTTGTCTTGTTTCTGTTTCTGAGAGGTGGGGAAAAAGATTAACTTTTAAAGATTACGTTCATATTTGCAGGTGAGTCAGTCAGAATTCACCTATTCAAGGCAGCAAGATAAGTGAAATGATAGTGATCCTGTGAAGGTCATGCCATCCCTCAGAGCTTCCGTTTACTCATAAGAACAGTGGAGAAATGCTACCTTGAGCAAGAATTAAATGACCAGAATGTAAAGCTTCTTGTATGGTCCCTCAGAAACCTCTGAATCCGGAGGGCTGTCTCAGATGGTGACCCCCACCCGTGATCTGCCCTACCCTCGCCCAACCCCCTCATTGGCACCTGCCCAGACTCCTTAGCCAATAAAACTTTCGCTGGTGCAGAGGTCACAATGGCTTCCTTAATTAAAACATTGTCATACCCATGCTAAAGGGCACCCAGGCAGCTCCCAAACCCACTAATAGCAGGCTTGCAAGTCCGAGAGGGGAGCAGAGCCTGCTCTGTGGTTTCTCTGAAGACCACAACTCACAGACTTGGCGCACTCGGCTGGCGACATTGTAATTGGGTACAATGGAACACAAATGTAGTTTAAAACATGAAAATGTTCACTAACAATGGTTTGGGCAGCACTTGATAATAATAAAATTTCATTCAATGGAACAGGGAACTTCAAACACTAGCCAGAGTTTATTCTATATGTTGAAGACCACCTGCAGGCCCCAGCAAAGCCCCATAACCAGGCTCCCTGGGAGCTCTGGACTTGGGGTGAGGCCTGTGTGGGGTCTTGGCCCACTGGCCTCAGGCAAAACCACCAATCCTCCAGTCCTCCCTCTTTTTCTCCTCTGAACAAAGCAACAGGGCTGCTCTCAAAACAAAATGAGGGCTATGGAAAGTTCTTGGTAAACAGCAAATACCTACACAGCCAAGCTGCTTATACATATTTTTTTAAATTATAAAGCCAAGTTGTTACTTAAATATTCATTCTAAAAGTAAAAGGGCAATGGTACAGTTTGGAAAATAAGAAACTTTCTAGACTTCTACAACCTTAACCTCATTGCTGTATATTATTTTAATATTTTACACATCTGATCAGTGTGCATATAGCTTTACAATTTGCTTTTTCAACTCTATATTTTTCATCACCTAAGTATGAGTTATCATCACCACCACACACACTCCCTTCCAATTCTGAGAATCACTAAGTCTAGTCACACAGCATCCCGTCATCACAGGGTCAGGCTTCCTATAACCTGTAACATTCAACCCAGAGGGAGTAAGGCCTTTATGTGGCCAGGCTGCCCTCAAAACCCAAAGAGAATATGACCACCCTCAGGCCCTCATCCCAACCAAGAGGAATCACCAACTGGAAGATCACTGCTCTTCCAGAGCCAGCTCTGAATCCCGGGCACGCTGAGGCAGTAAGAAGCTTGAGGCGGTCAGAAGAGAGGAAGCAGGCCTTGTAAGTGCTGGGGTGGGAGGATACTCCATGCAGGGCTACAGGCCTCGCCCACACCAACAACCCTGCCGGCATCCCTGGGACCCTGAGTCACCAAGGAAAGGCCCAAATATACTAAGTATGCCTTGGCTGCAGAAGAGAGTAACACATTTTAGAAGAACTTTCAGTAGAACTGGATAACATAACATCAATGTTGGGGCTTTAAAAATGGTATACTGCCCAGAGAGTGTGGCTCAACTGATGAGCATCAACCTATGAAACCAGGAGCTCACGGTTTGATTCCTGGTCAGGGCATGTTGCCCCGGTCGTGAGCTCGATCCCCAGTGGGGAGTGTGCAGGAGGGAGCCAATCAATGATTCTCTCTCATCATTGATGTTTCTCTCTCTCTCTCTCTCCCTCTCTGAAATCAATAAAAAACATATTTTAAAAATAAATTTTAAAAAAACACAAAAGAAAGCACCTGTGGACTGGCAAAACCACTCCACAGTCACCTCCCTCAAAGTCAGCTCTCTGCAGTGTCTGAGGGCAGTCAGAACTGCCTTCTTCAATCCCCTCCACTTTGTACTTACTATTTGCCACTGTCCCAATGAATGTGAGTGCTTCTAGGCCCGCTTCCTGGCTGAGCTGCCTCTGCAGAGTGCAAAAGTCACCTTAATCTCAGAATCCCAGCCAATGCCCGGGGCACTGAACACTCAGTGACCAGGATAGTCCCTTTGACCCGACACACCTACTTCCCTACACCCACATACACTCCCTCCAAACACTCTCAGCTCAGAGTGACATTAAAATAAAAAGCACTTACTTCAACACAGCAGCCTCGCTAAAGGCGTTCGGAGCTCACAACTAACAACCTGTCACTCTATCAATATTTAAATCACAGACCAGAGGCCGCTGGAAGAGAACTGGTTGACCTACAGGATGCAAGTTTCCTGGTAAGAGTAAATGCTCATAATCACTAGCAGAGCTACCGAAGGAGGCGCTACAGCAGGTTAACTGGACACGATCCGGCACAGCGGCAGCAGCCTGGAGCTTACACTTCATTATGGGCCTTGCTCACTGACAGCCTCATTTCCTGATCAGGCTTCTACTTTTGGTGATTTTCTACGGCTTAATGTTCAGGATTCACTGACTGCTTTACACCTCCACTAATCCCTCTCCCTAGTGGGGAAGTCGCTTAGGGAAGCTGACACATGACACCAAGCTTTATGCGCAGTGTCAGTGAGGCTGTGTATGTCTGCCTCCTCCTCTCCGGTAGCCTAAGGAAATGCACCAGAAATGAACAAAGACCCTTTTCCATGCCTGGACAGTGAATGATGTCAGCCCATCTCCTTACAGGTAGCAGACATAACTGACAAGACAGGAGGACGGACACACACACACACAACATCTGAGTGATACCTACTGTATACCATCCTATCACCTCCAGGTCTGAGTATTCAAAACCTCTTTATGATGGATAATTCTTTTCATTAATAATAAACCATCTAACATCTGTGAGGCTTTAAAGTTTAGTGTTCCTTTGTATACATGAGCTCTTTATGTAGCTGAGACTCTATAATGTCAATAAACTTTAAAAAAAAAAAAATCAGTCCTTAAAATATTCCGAATCGGCCAGAGGCCACAAGAAACCATTACTGGACAATCATGGTCACTGGCACAACCCACACCCAGCTCTCGGCCCAAGGAGGGGTCTCCAGGATACAAGGAACATCTCTCTTCTGAGAGAACATACTTGGATGAAACAAGTCAAATATTTGGAATTTTCACTTAACATTTATTTCACAAGTTTCTCAAGTGCTAAGCAATACTGAGAGGTAATCATTTTGATGTACTCTTTAATCAATAAACATTAAACAACAAAAACAAACATTAAACAAGTCTGCTCAAAACACCCAAGTCCTACAAATGTGCCCCTATGGAAAATATGACAAGAAAAAATAACAAAATAAGTAACCTCTTGAAGGTCAGGCAGAAAGGTGTTTAGTGATCCAAAGTCAGACAAGAAAACAGGTCTTTCAGCAGATGAACAAATAGTTTCCTCTGCAAGTGACACATTCTGGGATACTTGCACTGCCAAACATAACTCGTAAAGACAACTACCTGGGAACTAAACTAATGGAAAAAACCCAAGCTGGCAACCAGAAGCCCAGTTCTGACCCCCAAGACAGTCTTATGGCTGTGTGACCCTACCAAAATGATGGCCAGGTCTGGTACCCTTTCTTCATCAGGAAAAGAAATACCCCTCACTGCCCACACCACTCAGAAATGTTTTAAGGACAAAAAAAATGAGAGGTGAAAAGGCTTTGGAATGTATCCTCCATAAACACAAGTCATCATTATTATTAGCTCAAAGACGACCGGGACAACAGGATTACAGAATAGCAGAGGTGAGTGGGAGCTTAGAGGTGAGATGATCCAGTTCTTACTCTGGGTCCAGGCCTCTGAAGCTGTCCCCCTGTGTGTTTTCTGGGAAAAAGTCCATAGTTGTTATCAGTTTGTCAAAAAGTTAAGAACCTCGCCAGAACCGGTTTGGCTCAGTGGATGGAGCGTCGGCCTGTGGACTCAAGGGTCCCGGGTTCGATTCCGGTCAAGGGCATGTACCTTGGTTGCGGGCACATCCCCGGTGGGGGGCATGCAGGAGGCATCTGATCGATTTTTCTGTTTCTGGCTCTCTATCCCTCTCCCTTCCTCTTTGTAAAAAATCAATAAAATATATTTAAAAAAAAAAAAAAGTTAAGAACCTGTAAGCCCCTGATTTTACAAATGAAAACTGAGACCCAAGAGAATGTGACTTTCCTAGGCCTCAGGGTTAGTGCGGGAAAGGCTGGACCCGCCCAGGGCTTCCAGTCTCCACCCGTGCCCCTCCCACTCTCCCATTCCACAGGTCTAGGAAGGAAAACGGTCACATAAACCTCATATAGCCACAGAGTGTTACACAAACCACTGAATAGGTGCTTTCTAAAGTTACTGCAAAGTTTCTTTTTTTTGAAGTTCTACTAGATTTATTGAAAGAGTATACTACTCTTCCTTCCATTAAAAAATAATAATCTTATAACAGAAAATTTACAGAATACAGAAGTACCCAAGCCCATGTAGATTAACAAAATAATTACAATAATTTTATTCATCTTTCCACTGGTTTTCCTTCTAAGCATTATTTTTTCAATATATTTTTATTGATTTCAGAGAGGGAGAGGGAGATAGAAACATCAATCATGAGAGAAAATCATCAATCGGCTGCCTCCTGCACGCCCCCTACTGGGGATCAAGCTGAAATCCGGGCATGTGCCCTGACCAGAAATCAAACCCTGACCTCCTGGTTCAGAGGCCAAAGCTCAACCACTGATGGACACCGGCCTGGCTCTTTCTAAGCATCATAACAATAATATATATTATTATATAATGTTGAAACATGCTTTCTACCTAAAAATATAATAAAGTTTATTTTATTTTTCAATTACAGTTGACATTCAATATTATTTTATACTAGAGGCCCGGGGCACGAAATTCGTGCACCAGTGGGGTCCCTCTGCCTGGCCTGCGGAATCGGGGCCAAACCCGGCTCCCCAACATCCCCTGAGGGTCCTGGATTGTGAGAGGGTGCAGGCCAGGCCAAGGGACCCCACCAGTGCACGATCGGGGCCAGGGAGGGGCACAGGAGGTTGGCCAGCCTGGGAGGGACCATGGAAGGGCTCCATGGTATGTCCGGCCCATCTCCAGTCCCGATTGGCCAGACCCCAGCAGCAAGCTAACCTACTGATCAGAGCATCTGCCCCCTGGTGGTCAGTGCATGTCATACCAAGCGGTTGAGCAGCCTTAGCATATCATTAGCATATTACCCTTTGATTGGTTGAATGGATGACCGGACACTTAGCATATTAGGCCTTTATTATATAGGATTACCCTGGCCGGGTTGCTCAGTTGGTTAGAGCATCATCCCAATACACTGGTCTCTGGTCAGGGCACATACAAGAATAAGTGGAACTATAAATTTATGTTTTTCTCCCCACCCCAATTCCCTTCCTTTCCTCTCTAAAATAAATAAATAAATAAATAAATAATCAATCAAAGTGAGTATTTTATATTAGTTTCAGGTTGTAACAGTTTCTATCATTTTCCTTCTTAAGGATTCTTTCTGAGGTTTTTGCTAGTTGAGTCTGTACTTTATTCATTTCCATATTCTCATTCTGTCTAGTTCAGTGCCTGGAGACAAACACTCAGATGAACTTTTAATATTGAAAATTTTAACACATTAAGTTTATACAATGTTACATGTCAAATACTTTTCAATTATTATATTTTTTTGTTAATCCTCACCCAAGGATATTTTTCCCATTGATTTTTAGAGAGAGTGGAAGGGAGGAAGAGAGAGAGAAACATCGATGTGAGAGAGATACATCAATTGCTTGCTTCCCGTGAGCGCCCCAGTTAGGGCTGGGGATCCAGCCCTCAAATGAGATACGTGCCCCTTAGACCAGAATCAAACCCACGACCCTTCAGTCCTCAGGCCAATGCTCTATCCACTGAGCCAAACCAAGTGGGGCTCAATTTCTTAAAAAAATATATATGTTTTTATTGATTTTAGAGAGAGGAAGGGAAAGGGAAAGATAGCAACATTGATGAAACATGAACATCGATCAGTTACCTCCTGCACAACCCCTGCTGGGGATCGAGACCACAACCTGGACATGAGCCCTGACCAGGAATCGAACTGGGACCTCCTGGTGTGCAACCACTGAGCCACACTGACTGGGCTACTTTTCAATTTTTAAAAACAAAGATTTTATTCTAGGAAACAAAATAAAAAGACTACATGGTGCTCTCTGTTCTATTAAGCAAACATAAATGTGCAATTATGGGAATAAATACAAGTCATTACATAATTAAAGGAGATTTTTGTTCTTAAGTGTTTTTTATCAAAATACCAAAAAACTTATGCTCCCAAATGGCAACTGCTCTTCAAATAGTTACCTTTGGAACTACACATATGCCAAGAATGCTGCACTGCACAGAATACTTTGAGACGACTTCTTTTTAGTCTGTCTCCAATCACCAGAGCCTCATTACCTGAAGGAATTCCTTAGTACCAGTAATAAATACTAAAGAAATTCCTACAAAGCCATCCCAGGGACCACCACGGGGGCCAATCAGGAGACAGGTTTCGGGCACTGATGGTGCTTTCAGGTGTGTGAAGGATCACTGCCAAGGCCAGAAAGAAAGGTAGCTACCTGTGGAATGTAAACTGACGTCATAGCTAAGGCATTGCTGCCTTCAGGTATGCAGCTGCAGTTCCAAACAATCTAATTGGAAAAAAACCGAACCAGCACTATCACTCATGTGAAGGTGGTCATTACCCCCATAATCGACAGGGCAGCCTCCACAAAGCCACCCTCACTATCTGATGGCAGATAAGGCAGGCCCCAGTGAGCTGGGAGTTCATGTGAGGGTGGCCAGGGAGCATTTGGTGAATGCTAGCAGGATCTCCAAACACCAGGTGCCATTACTATTATCATTAAGGAATCTATGCAATCTTGTTGATATCCCATAACAGCCTGCAACTACAGATGACCCCATGAGAAGCAGGAAGCCTAAACATCTTGCTTCTTAACTCAGTCTGGACGGAATTTGAAGTGAATAGAAAAGAAACAAAAAGATTAAGGACAAAGGAACCTCAGATCCCACCCAAAAACTGGCCGGGCCATCAGAGATCTGGACTTGGCGTCCAGGACTAGGGAAAGCCAACTTTATTTCCCAGCAGGAGAATGTGTTCAAAACCCAGATATTGTTTACAAATGCATATGCTTAGATTATCTCAATATTATGACCTCTTATACATTTGAGACTAAAAGTAATGAAGTTCCAGTTCCCAACCAGCATGAGCGGAGAATGCCATTTCCATTCAAATGAGCGTTTATTCCCCTCGGAAAAAGTGAATAGCGTGCAGATCTAATCAACTCTGTTACTTTCCCGAGTAATAAATATCACCGGCCTAATGGCCAGTTTCTTAAAGCTTCCAGACCACTGCCCAGAGAAAAACACACCGCGGGAAAGTGCGTTTCTGCCGCAGCGGCCTCACAGCTCGGCTAGCACAGCCTCGCCAAGGAGCCTGCCGAACGCCAACCTTCCCGGGAGCGGCACCCGGAGGAGCGTTTCCCGCGCGAGTGCGGAGAAACCCAAGTTGCCATGCCCGCCGCCACCCGCGTCGGTGCCTCTGCAGGGAGGCTGCAGGCAGGCAGGCGCGTGGTCAAGGGGAACAAGAGCGTTTGGGGCAAG